CCTGAAAATTCAATTTTTAAATGTAACTAAATTTAAACTATTTGTTTGTTGAAGTAGGAACAAGGCCAAAAAAGGTCGATGACAGTATACGTTCCGTTTTAAACAGTGACTAGCATAGCCAAATATAAAGGAATGGTGGAAAGGTTCGCAGTATACTAAATTGACATTACACCTTACAGTGTTCACAGTGCCAATGGGAATATAGCCATAGTGACGCCATATAACATTGACAATTTTCAACGGGTATTTTGACTTTCTGAGGTCAATATCAAAATTAACATTGCCAATTTTATTTTCAAAAATAACCTCTAATTAAAATTATTTATCAAATATGCTTGTCATTGACAATTATAAAACAATAAAAAAAAGATATTACAGTACAATAGTCTTATTTTAAAACGTAATCGAAACAATGATATGATTATTTATTGCTTAGGTTTAAGGAACATTAATCACAATTAAAATCCTAATTAAACTGAGAATCATCGTTAAAACAATATCGATTACACATTTTAGGTTATCGGACAGCGATATGAGCTCAATAGATAAAAACGGAATATAGCAATTTAAGGTCTTTTCTTCAAATTAAATTTTAGTAAAATTTATAAAATTGAATTTCAAATTGAAGTTAAAATCCTAGATTAAGTACCCTGTTGACAGCAAAACAAAATGGTTTCCTTTTTTTTTAAAGTCGGGATACTTGCAAAGGGAATCCAACCAAAAAAGCGTAATATAAAATATTTAAATTTACTTTTATTCCATTATGCTTATTTTGTTAATTTCATGATTTTGTCAGCTACCTTTTGCACTGACGGTTGCATCTATAATTAAGGTGACATCTATCACGTGGTTCTTGTCAATTTGTCAACGTTTTACTATTGATGATCGCCTCATTGGTGCGAAGAAATAAATAAATAAACAAACACACGGGTTTTAAGTATTTTATCTAGAAAGAAGATAAAACAGCCAATATTTTCGATTGAAGGTTATAGTTAGGCGAAAGATTGCAAACCAGAAAAAAACTGTGTTTTATTGGCCCAATTAAAACTTTCTAATTACTTCAGGGCGCCACGTAGGACACCGGTGACCTACATGACAGTAAAAGAGTTAATCAAACTCAAGTCATTAAATTCCGATTTTCGTGTGTGAAGATTTAGATTGAAACTAGAATCAAGATATTTAAGAAAAAAAAAAGACCTGCCGCATACCATTCGGCACTGAGCTCCAAAGAGGGACGCCAGCATATTGCGAAGTCCTAAATTGATCTAACGTATCTATAGTGACTAGAATAATTACCACAACCAAATACACTTGAAATGTCTACGCAATAAAATTAGAAAAATAAAAACACGTGTGGCACTCGGGGACTGCCGCGGTAAAGCTATTGCATAGCATTTTTTATCAACTTATACAATTATAATTAGACAATAATAATTTAATATTAAAACAATAATAAAATAAGACCACGCTATATTTATAAACATTAACGAAAGCAAAAAATTAACTGTCCCCTTCACACTCATAAGCTAGACCGCGCGAGAAAGAGATGGGCAGACTTTTCATGATGCGCATAAAGTGCGACGTCACGCCGCGCGCTTATTCACAAACACTACACAAGCGCAACGTGTGAATGCGTTGAACGCGAGCTACTTGGTAGGCGGAGTGGGGGTGTTAGGTTTTATTTTCGGTACGGAATTTCTTGATTCGATCGCCGCGCTCAAAGCCCGCGATAAAAGCTATGCAATAGCTTAACAACATAATTTTCACTAGTAATTCCTTTTTTGACTTATAAGGGAGTTTCCAAGACATCTTTAGTTTCTGTGCGTTTTTTTGGAGGGTAGAAGTAGGTATAACTGTCTTGTATGTGGGACAAGCTTAATGCGTCCGGCTGTGACCAGTGTGGTTAGTGTGAGTTTCTTAACGTTCTCGATAGCGTAAAAGTTAACTCAAACTGGTATGGAGTTGGATCGTTTGCCTACGTTTGCCGCTAGGGGCGCTGTTCCAACTGCATACAAATGTGAGTTAACTTTTACGCTATCGAGAATATCAAGAAACTCACACTATGCATTCTGTCTGCAGAATAAAAGTCAATAATTCACCAGCACAGCGAGTAGCACGTGTTGCGATATAAATGTAGCAGTTGTGACCAGAGCGAAGTGTATCGAATTGAACGGCCTACTTGGTGTTAAGTGGTTACTGGAGCCCAAAGACATCTACAACGTAAATGCGGCCACCCACCTTGAGATATGAGTTCTAAGTCTCGGTATAGTTACAACGACTATCCCGCCCTTCAAACCGAAACGCATTACTGCTTCGCGGCATAAATGGGCAGGGTGGTGGTAACTCCCCCCACGCGAATTTGATTTTGATTACACGATGTTATTCCTTCACCGTGGAAGTCAATCGTGAACATTTGTTAAGTACGTGTATTTCATTAGAAAAATTGGTACCCGCCTGCAGGATTCGAACACCGGTGCACCATTAGATACAAATGCACCGGACGTCTTATCCTTTAGGTCACGACGACATCAATATCAATTTTTAACGCCATCTTTGAAATTACATCGTTTGCTACGGTGACGCTATCCTAGGCGGTCGCTTCTCAACACTTCTTTATACCAAAATTGTATTGCGTACTTCTACCCTCTATAGTTTTCATGACGCGCACAAATCTGTCTGTTTATAACTGGCGCTTACCTATTGCTTTAGGATTAAAAAGTATTTCCTTCATTCCGATATGAGATGGCTCTATTATCTATGCCCTTAAAGTTCGAATCACCAAAGACTTAAAGTTGGTTTTACTGCAACGCTGAATAAAGCTAAAGCCCAATCCCTCGAGCTTTGGTAGAATAGTCCAGAAGCTTTACTCTTTTTAATCAACGACACACTTACATGTCTAAGGACAAAAAGGTCACTTGAATTGATTTACGGTCATTTTTTTCCCTACCTATTCGCTGGTAGCTAAAGGAGATGTTTCAGGTACGCTGTGACTGGTAGGTGAGCTCACGGGCTCAACCTGAGAGAGTGTACTAACAGTGGCCCTAGAGTAGTGCTCCGTAGAATCTACCATCAGACCGGAATCGATTACTAAATTATACATAACTAACGACCCGCCCTCGCTTCGCTTCGGAAGCTGTAATTTATTATTGATTTCTCCACTATTTCATTGATGTTATTGTACATGTAAACCCTCCTCTTCAATCACTCTATCTATTAAAAAAAATCGCATCAAAATCCGTTGCGTAGTTTTAAAGATTTAAGCATACACAGGAACAGATATAGGTACAGAGAAAGCGACTTTGTTTTATACTATGTAGTGATTATTCTATAACACTTAGTTGTATAGCCAACGATTAGTGAGTATCTGAATATTTCAGCGGGTCGCGATTCCGATCCGGTAATAGATTCGCGAAGCAGCTGCTCGTGAGTTGTTAGGCGCCCGGGCAGCTGTTAGCAAATCCCACCTCTCCTGGCTGAGCCTTTGCTCGCCCACCTGTTCTGGTGAAGCTGGAAATGCCTCCGGGCTACCAGTAATCCTTCAATCATAAAAAGAAGCTGCATATTTACCCCATACGTATAGGCAAAGATGGATTATAATATATATACATATATATTAACTAACAATCATGCCACGTTAAATGGTCCCGTGCTAAGTTCGTAAAGAACTTGTGTTACAGGTACCTACCAGATAACGGAAATAAATGTAATTATACACATAGATATATTTAAAATACATCCATAACCCTGAAAGAGACATTTTATATTTATCATACAAATATCCTCCCTTGGCGGAATTCGAACCCGCGACCCCCTTGTGTAGTGACCATGTCACTTACCACTACACTAGACGGCCGTTCCTCTGTATCATCTTAGATAAAAACAATTTAATTGGAAATATCACGACATTGTGATTATGTGCCGCTGGACTATTCTACGACTATGGAGCTTGTAATAATGCTACTAATGTAGTCAGCGTCAGCTATGAGCATGGGATAGGTTTGGGCCCAGTATTCGTTCAGTGAGTCCATGAATATATCCAGACACGATCTTAAGGAATTCGCTCCTGAAAATTTATAGTGTTTTCTTGGTGTAGTGCCTTGGAATCGCCTAGTTAAAACGTTAAAATTTAAACACATGCAATTTTTCCTAATACACAATAATAAGGAATATTGACGTACATTACAAAAAAACACATCATTACAAACCCGGTGTGCTACGTTTGCCGCTAGGGGCGCTGTTCCAAACACCATAGAAATTCGAGTTAACTTTTACGCTATCGAGAACGTTAAAAAACTCGCACTAAGCACACAGAGCTTCAGAGATAAATCTAAATGAATCTATACAATCATCGAACAATTTTTTATAATTCGATCGTGTTAATTGAGTATAGATATAGTGAGAAAAGATTTTCCTTCGTAATTTTTCGGAAAAGTTCGTATTTATCGTGCTCTCTCAAATAGGTTCGATACCCATCTTAGGGTCGTAAGGGTAAGTCGCATCAGTAGACCAATATATTAGAGTGGATAATACGAAATTTTAATATTCGCTACAGTTTTAACCATATTTTCAGATTACTTATAGAAAGGTTGTATAGCCATGCCGAAACCTCTAAAACGGTTAAAAAACCAGTCCAAGGCATTATATTTCATATTTACCTGTACTTCATATCGGAAAATAGCAAATTTAAAAATAGGAACAACTCAATGATTGTTATGGTTGTAGCATCTCTATATTATACAATGACATTTGACATTAAATAATACAGTTCCTTATTGATGGATATGAAAATGTCACTTGTTTAATACCGAGTTTTCCTGAAAAAAAATAATTTCTCACTACATCTATAATTGAATATGCAATTTCGAAAAGGGCACATGTCGCATATTTTGTCAAATACGTTTTTTCATATATACGTAGTTTTAAGGCTTACCTACACCCATTTTATAACAATTCTAGTAATTTTCAATTGCTAATTAACACTAAAATATATCTGAAAAGTTAATATTTTAAATTTTACACTGCTTTAGAAAATAAATCAGTTTTTTTCATTTCCTGAACATTTTACATTTTCGGGGACGTGCCCTTTTCGAGATTGCGTATTCAATTAAAAATGAAAGAACATAACGCTACGTATTTTAGGTTTCACGACGCGATTATAGAAGTTCTCGAAGACGATGTAGTAGCGTGCGCATACTGTAACGCGTAGACGCCATACGGCCGCCATGTTAGACAGGAAGCCGGGGTCGTTGACGCGCTCGCACTCGCAGTAATGGCGGTACGAAGGCGCGCGCTTTGTTTGGCCCCTGTTGGATGTATAGCGCTTTAATTTATTAACTGCATCAATAAAATTAAGGCCCGTAATAATAATCGTAGTTTAAACTAAAACAACAGCGAAGATCGACTCGTAACTTATAACTATCGTCAACAATCGTAAGCTATGAGTTGAATTTTAATAGTTGCATAGTGGAAAGCTCAAGTAAATAAAAATAAATTATTGAATTGTTTGGCTAGTTTAGACCAAGTTTTCAAGTCCTATTATCCAACGAGTTGAGTGTGTGGGTACCGAGCTGCAGCCCGTGGACCCTGAAGCGTAGAGACGTCGTACTGACGATAGTAGTAGCTTTAATAGTGTCGGTTAGTTATTCACCTGTCAGCGAATCGAGTGTGCGCAGCGTCGGTCTGCCGTCATAGCGCCGAGTCGAACATTTGAAGCGACCTAGTGATCGCGTCATCCTTCAGACACGACTCAAGGAACTCCTCGATCGTGATCACGCCGTCCTGGTTCAGGTCCAGCTTCCTGAACACCCGGTCCACCTGGAAAACGTCGAATTGCTCACGTTGTAAACGGACTATTTTAAAGTGAAACTTTTATTACGTCGTCTCAAACTTTTCGTCTGTGTGTTGCATGTCGCGTGACGGTCGGCAGCGAAGTAGGGATGAAATGAAAGGGGCTTGTCAGAGCAGCCAAGGCCACCATGGCAGCGCCTATAGTTACCTAACCGAGTAGCGTTTTTTTTATATATATACAAGTTCCGAACAACAACATTTGGTCCGTCGGTCTACCGAGCAATATCACCCGCTCGGTGGAAGATCTTCCCTTTGTCGTATATCCACATTGCCGAACGTGTAGGCAGTAGCACTTGCATTGTATTCATTTGCCTACGCTCGCGTTGGCCTTAGCTCGACCAACAGGTGTTGCAGGCTTAAGCAGTACAATACTGGCCTTACCTGTTCATTGGCTTTAGCATCGTCCAGCCTCGCAGCCGGGGACCCAGGGGGCGCTCGTCTGCCCAGAAGCTCGTGCACCGCCACGACCACCTCGGCCAGCTCCTGTCTCGTGATGGCTCCGTCTCCGTCCACGTCGTAGAGCCGGAACGCCCAGCGGAGACGCTCGTACACGGAGCCACGGAGCAGCGTGGACAGGGTCACCAGTAATTCCTGAAAAACAAAACAAAAAAAATACGATATTGTTATTATATTTTTAATAATTCCGAATAAATTGTACTCTGCGTGTGAAAGAATTTTTTAAATCGGAAAATTCGTTTCGGAGCCTATTCAATACAAACAAACAAACAAACAAATCTTTCCGCTTTATAATATTAGTATAGACTTATAAATTCTATGAACTTCAAATTGTAGTTATTGATATCATCCATATATACAAATATGAATTGCTGTTCGTTAGTCTCGCTAAAACTCGAGAACGGCTGGACCGTTTGACTAAGTTTGATCTTGAATTATTTGAGCAAGTCCAGAGAAGGTTTAAAAGGTAGATAAATATGAAAATGCTCGGAATTAAATGAAAATAACAATTTTGTTTTCCCTTTGATGTGTCCCCCGTCGGACGGATTCCTTTTGTTTGTTTTAAGTATATTTTATACAAAAGTTTAGGGCTTTTATTTATCGATTGAGGCACTACGAAGTCTGCCGGGTCAGCTGGTTCCGTATAAATTGTAGCTTTTTTTTTTATTTGGTTTTATAATTTGAGTTTTTATAATTTCATTTCATTTGACTTGATTTTAATTTATTTCTATTTTTAATAATTCCGATAATTTTTACTTTTAATTCAGTTTTATTTTGATTAAAATATTATGTAATTGAGTGTGAATTTTCATGGGCTTAAGTTACCTGGAATAAACGCATTTTATTTATTTATTGTACAAATGTATCCGCTTGTTGACTGTTTTTTTATAAATGTTAATTGTATTTCTTTCTCTCTCTCTCTCTCTGCGATGTAGACAATTCTATGAATAAAGGGTGTATCGGTTTTTATCATATATATTTTTAATTGCTAAGACGTATGGACGAGCTCACGACCCGCCTGCTGTTCAACTATCACCGTAGCCCATGGACATCAACTGCATCAATACCGCCGTCCACCTTGAGACATAAGTCCTGAGCCATAGTTTCCACAGTACTACTGCTGCGCCATATTTTAAGCCGAAACGCATTACTGCATCACGGCAGAATCAGGCAGAGGGTCGGAAGTTTACGGCGACGCGGAAATTAAAGCTCACTGGAACGGATCTAGCTATCGCGCCTTCTGTTCCCGCTCTGAGGAGCTCAATAAAACATCAAAGACAATGTCTATTTGCAGTGATTTTTGAGGCACATCCCGATTACCTATGCAATTGAAACTTTCCGTGTCGTCGCGGCCTAAAGGATAAGACGTCCGGTGCATTCGTGTGTAGCGATGCGCCGGTGTTCGAATCCCGCAGGCGGGTACCAATTTTTCTAATGAAATACACGTACTTAACAAATGTTCACGATTGATTTCCATGGTGAAGAAATAACATCGTGTAATAAAAATTAAACCTGAAAAATTATAATTTGCGTAATTACTGGTGGTAAGACGTCTTGTGAGTCCGCACGGGTAGGTACCACCACCCTGCCTATTTCTGCCGTGAAGCAGTAATGCGTTTCGGTTTGAAGGGCGGGGCAGCAGTTGTAACTATACTGAGACCTTAGAACTTATATCTCAAGGCGGGTGGCGCATTTACGTTGTAGATGTCTATGAGCTCTGGTAACCACTTAAAAACAGGTGGGCTGTGAGCTCGTCTACCCATCTAAGCAATCAAAAAAAGCAAAACTACTCCAGAACTGTCAGTCATACCAGTGAATAGGTAGTAAAAAAAAAACAAATTCCACTAATAATCAGTAACAAGTAATTTCACCATACAATGTCAGCCATATTTTTGTATAAAATCATACTGACAGTAAAACTAGCTCCGTGCTAAAGTTTTGAACGGAACTAACGCCAATTAGTGAGGCAACACTCGATTCTGCAGTTTCCGGTCGTCCGCGTAGCCGGGAATTCGACAATTTGTCCGCCATTTTGATTAGATTTTTTTTGATGCTATACGTATTTTGTACGGAATGTTCCAGTTGTAGTCCCAATTGAAACTACATTTACGGTTTGTTGTAACGTCAACTGCATGTAAAAGAAACGCGATTAATGAAAAATAACTTTTCATATAAAAATCTCTTGATGGTATAGTCTACGATAATATTCAATACGTCATCGGAAATTAAATGTCGTTTAATTAATACTGTTTAAATAAGTGTTTTTAAGCTATTGCATAGCTTTTATCGCGGGCTTTGAGCGCGGCGACCGAATCAAGAAATTCCGTAACGAAAATAAAACCTAACACTCCGCCTATCATGTAGCTCGTGTTCAACACATTCACACGTTGCACTTGTGCAGTGTTTGTAATAAGCGTACGGCGTGACGTCACACTGCATGCGCATCATGAAATGTCTGCCCATCTCTCTCTCGCGCGGTCTAGCTTATGAGTGTGAAGGGGACAGTTAATGTTTTGCTTTCGTTAATGTTTATAAACATAGCGTGGTTTTATTTTATTATTGTATTAACATTAAATTATTACTGTCTAATAATAATTGCATAAGTTGATAAAAAATGCTATGCAATAGCTTTACCGCGGCAGTCCCCGAGTGTCACATGTGTTTTTATTAATTAAATTTCTGCGCGCTGTATATTTTCCATTTATATTTCTATGTATGTCTATTTAATATTACTAGAGGTTCCGCAGTAGTCGAAATTCGACTATAATTAATTGGAATTGTAAGTTTGTACACTATTATGATTGTATTTTATACTTCTATAATCATAAATTTCACCAAGACTACACTATAAAAAATATTAACAAGGACAAACAATATTTAATCTTTTCTCAATTTTACAACAGACGTCAAGAACAAAAGTTTGACAATAAACAGTATGCATGCGTGTGTGCGTCAAATACATGGTATGTAGTGTGTGTAACGTTTTCTTTATTGATTTAATGTACCTTTTATGCATTATTTTAAAAAAATAATAGAATTGTGCACTTCTTCTCTATATTCTCTATAAGTGTGGAAAATTTCATACTCCTCCGTCCGCGCAATTTTCGTAAAAAGTGACACAAAGTTTTTGCTTCACGTATTAATATATAGATTATTCATTTTTCAAAATTAATATTTTCGAAACGTTACATTTTACGTTCAAAACGGATTTAAGATACGACACGCGTCACCCACGAACGCCTTCACGATAATATCGCTTTAGACCAGTGCTTCCAAACCTTTTTGTGCCATGCCCCATTGTAACATTTCTAAAATGTTTATGCCCCCCATACATAATTTTTAACATAAAAAAATTTATTTGTTCACTTAAGAAACATAAATGATAGGCTTTAGGAAGAAATCACTATGAAATTGTTATCAAATTATTATTTATTCGGAGATCAAAACACAGTAAGTAATATTCCAAAACATATAATAAAAAATGAACTTCAATTTCAAAATAATTTTAATACAGATTTTGTATATTAATTTCAAGTGAAGGTGAAAGCAAATAATTATACAAACTTCTATATTCACAATTTAAACTTTTTTTTAAAAGCACTAGCTACATTTATTCTTTTTAACGGAAGAAAAAGGAGGGAAAAGGGAAGAGGGGAGGGAGGAAAAAGGGTGAAATACGTGTTAATAGCATCACTATTACTTTTTTTATATTTGAAATATGCATGTAACCTACTATTTGCATGGAATAAAATTTACTGCGATTGTCCCCCTTAATTACCAAATTGCCCCCTTGGGGGGCGTGGGCCCCACGTTGGGAAACACCGCTCTAGATGAAGTTTATTCGTTCGTGGAAATACACTTTGGTCTTTGATATACCCACAACAGTTTTTAACAATTACGAAGCTTAAAATACGTATCATAAATTGTTTCAAGATTGTAATGTTAGATTGAGTAACACGAAAAAAAATTTGAGTCGCACAAACATGAAAGATAACGCGTTAACTATAAATTAAAAAAAATACACAATATTAATGTCTACATGATTACGTAGATCAGATACGAAATATGAAGGGGTAAATTTAAATAGCGCCATCTAGTATAGGGGACAACTATCAGTCAGTAAGTAAGTCAGTAAATCTAAATAATCTACAGTCGGCATCATTGGGCCACTTCGAGAAGGCGGCACGACATAGGAACCCTCTTGTCGTGGCCGCCGGTAATTACATACTCGATCCTGTGGATCGAATGGTAAACAGTCGACGTCGCCCTAAACACGTCATTACGGATCCTCACGACCCATTAACGGTGCTTTTAGGTACCTCAAGCACCGGTCATCGTTGTCGTCGAACCCGTTGCTTGCGACGAAGGGCTCGACGACTAAATTAACCCGCAGACACAGCCCACTGAGTTTCACGCCGGATCTTCTCAGTGGGTCGCGTTTCCGATCCGGTGGTAGATTCTGCGAAGCAATGCTCTTGCTACGGTTCGTGTTAGCAACGTCGTCAGGTTTGATCCCGGTGAGCTTACCTACTACCTCAGTGAATCTAGAATAGCCCCCCGAGGTTACTAGAATAGGCAGGGAAAAAAAGCTATCAGCACAGGTAGGAAAAAGAAAAAAAAAGATGACCTGGTCGCCTTTTACACACTTGGCGACGCCATGTGAGGACTGCCATCATGACCTGGCATGACCTGTGACCTGGCTGTGTCTGGGTTAATTTCTGTGTATGGGTTAATTTACTCGTCGAGTCCTTCGTCGCAAGCGACGGGTTTGACGAGGACGGTGACCGGTGCTTGCAGTACCTAAAAGCGCCGTTAATGGATCGTCTGATAGCGTTGAGAGGCTATGTCAGCGTAACCTAAGAAGTAGGTGAGCTCACAGGGCTCAAATCTGACGACGTTGCTAACACTAACCCTAGCAAGAGCAGTACTTCGCAGAATCTACCACCGGATCGGGAACGCGACCCACTGAGAAGATCCGGCGAGAAACTCAGTGGTCATGCCGTCTCCTGTCAAGTGGTTGCCATTCAAACGCAATTGAAGACTGTACGTACCCTGAAACTGATGGCCCCACTGCAATTCACGTCAAATGCCTTAAACACGTAGTGCGCGTATAAGGCTGAATCTGTTGAAAAAATCACATCGTCACAATCACAATTAAAATGACACACTTGCACACACACATTAAATAAATAAAAAAAAATTGTTTAAAAATCTAACAAAATACGCTTTTATAGAGAATTCAACTAAGAAATAGAAATTAAATTTGAATTAAAAATATTGCAAAAAAAATTATTTTATTGTAAAAAAGCGTGGGGTGCTTTTCAGGATATTATCAAAATAACCCTTCTACTCATATCTGTTCATAAAATATTTATAACTACTGATACTTATAAAATCATTTTTTCTTACACTATTTTTAATTCAAATTTATTAAAATTTATTTTCTATTTTGTAGTTGGATTATCTATGAAAGCGTATTTTGTTAGTTTTTGTAAACTATTATTTATTACAGTTTGAAGATGGATTTCAAAAGAACATTATGTATTGTGGCTCTGGTAGGTACTAAGAAATAGAATAAAAAAGTCAACGAAAATTTTACAAATGTTGGGTCCATCCACTTACAAGCCGTAGATTTGAGAATGGTTTCTTCCATAAGAAATACCAAAATTTAAGAAAACATCCAGAGAAATATTTCAATTGCTATCGGATGTCAGTAGCCAGCTTCGATAAATTTTTGCTTAATGTGCATCCATACATCACCTTCGTGGATACAAAATGTCACAAGTATATTTCACATTTGAAGAAACCGCCCGTGGCTACGTACAGTGCGTGTACGCCCAACTATAGATGTTCACGATTGACTTCCACGGTGAAGGAATAACACCGTGTAATAAAAATCAAACCAGAAAATTAATTAATTTGCGTAATTACTGGTGGTAGGACGTCTTGTGAGTCCGCGCGGGTAGGTATCTCCACCCCGCCTATTTCTGCCGTGAAGCAGTAATGAGTTTCGGTTTACCACCCATCTAAGCAATAAAATTCACTCCACCGAGCCTGAAGACATCCAGCACCACGCTTGCCAATTCGCGGTCTTCACTCAACAACGCGTCTACCCCAACGATCTCAACGTATTGTCAGCTAGCATGATCAGACATAGCTTTACTACCCACAATCAATCACTCGTTTCGCTAATAGAATTAAGACTTCGACCAAATGTTTTAAGGCAGACGTTATATGCTTTGTAATAGCTACTAGAGGCCCCGCAGTAGTCGAAATTCGACTATAATTAATTGGAATTGTATAATAAGTTTATACACTATTATGATTGTATTTTATACTTCTATAATCACAAATTTCGCCAAGGCTACACTTTAAAAAAATATTAATAAAGACAAACAATATTTAATCTATTTTCAAGTTGACCACAGACGTCAAGAACAAAAGTTTGACCATAAATAGTATGCATGCGTGTGTGCGTCAAATACATGGTATGTAGTGTGTGTAATGTTTTCTTTATTGATTTAATGTATTTTTTATGCATTATTTAAAAAAAATATTAGCATTGTGCACTTCTTCTCTATATTCTCTATAAGTGTGGAAAATTTCATACTCCTCCGTCCGCGCAATTTTCGTAAAAAGGGATACAAAGTTTTTGCTTCACGTATTAATATATAGATGCTCTTCCGTGGATTTCCGTAAGCTAGTCCAAACATTAAAAACGGAACAAACACAAATCATGATTACATTTACGCTAACATTAAATTCCTTTTCGTTATCTTTAACAGTCACAGCCCTATCACGTGACTCGGAGTTGTAACAAGGGATGTCACGTCAACAACAATAAGACTTTTTACGTATTGAAAAGCTTACATTTTTTTTATATTTTTTTTTATTTCTTAGTAATTACGGTATTTCGGTAGGCAGCAGCTTGTCTCTGCCCCTGGCATTGCTGAAGTCCATGGGCGACGGTAACCACTCACCATCAGGTGGGTTGTATGCTAGTCTGCCTACAAGGGCAATAAAAAAAAAATTACGCAAATTAAAATTTTGCGGGTTTGATTTTTATTACACGATGTTATTCCTTCACCGTGAAAGTCAATCGTGAACATTTGTTAAGTACGTGTATTTCATTGGCAAAATTGGTACCCGCCTGCGGGATTCGAACACTGGTGCATCGCTAGATACGAATTTAATATAGGTATATGTGTGCGCCGAATCAATGTAACTTGGAGAAAATTCTGGAGCTTAAAGGAAATTCTAAAAGGGTCCTTCCCTCTTCATCTGAAAAAGACTGTGATGGATACCTGTATTCTTCCGACTCTCTTATATGGGTGCCAAACATGGACTTTCAACACAAAAATAAAAACAAAATTAGCGATCTGTCAGAAAGCGATGGAAAGAAGTATATTGAATATAAGAAAAATACAAAGGATAAGAAGCGAATACATTAGAGAAAAAACAAAGCTGATAGATGCTCTCAGGTACGTTCTGACACAAAAGTGGCGCTGGGCAGGACATCTTGCGAGATATACGGATAAAAGATGGACATTAGAAATTACAACATGGGAAGGACCAGCGGGCAAAAGAAGAAGAGGACGACCAAGAAGCAGATGGATCGACGGAATAACAGCAGCAACTGGAAAAGAATGGAGAAACAAAGCCAAGGATAGGGAAGAGTGGAGCAAGCTGGAGGAGGCCTATACCCGAATGGGGTTCCAAGCACATGTTTATATTTAATTTTGTAATTTTTATTTGGGTGTTTTTTTTTTCTTTCTTTTTTTCTATTTGTGTTTTGGAAATAAAATGGGCTTATTATTATTATTATTATATGTGTGTGCGCGTGTGTTAATTAAAAGTTAATTAAATAGTGAAAATAATACTCACTTCCGTGTGGAAAGAATTTAGCGTAAATATCTTTGAAGGAGTCCTCCTGCACCACGCCCTCAGGACACTCCTGTAACAGAAGATAATTCACGGGTCAACACCAAATTCGATTTGATTGCAAAGCATAAAATTTCGATATTTTAGATCGTAATTAGACGAAAAAAAAATACACGGCATGAAACAGTTTGCTTTTGAACTTTAATAAATTGACCACATATGAAACAAAATGCATCAGCATCGTATACTTTCTCGCTCACGACTCGGTCGTGTGCGGACGTGCTTTCCGATCCGTTGCTCGCTTGTGATCTACGTCTCGGAACTCATAGTTGTGCGCGACAGTGTAGTGACCGTGAATACCCCATACCAACTGTCTTTTTCAAGGCAAAAAGGATCGCTACGATCAGGCTTTCTGTGGCACTCTCACAGGCTAGCGATCTTCCCAAGCCCTCTCTTACCCCCGTTGACTGCCGTTTTCACGGCATAGGCTCTCCCCCCCCCTGCTCCTTGCTGTCTTTACAGCACAGGGGGGTTCTCCCAAACCAGGGGACTCGCCTTTCGGCGAGTTGAACAAAAGTCCCGGGGCCGCCCCCCCCGGGCGAAAATCACGTGAAGATGGACGAAAAAATTTTCATCGACTTCATTCGGGAAAAATATCCGTCAATCGCGCCCGAATTCGAAGCCTATAGGGCCTCATTTGGTAAATATTCTCCCCCCGCATCTCTCGCCGCCGTCGCCAAACATGCCTCGCAGGCATGCCTCGCGTGCCCCGCCGCCGGTCCGTGTTCAAGCGCACGTACGCACGCCGCCGCCGTAGCGTCTAACGCCCCCGACCCGCTACCCCCGCGCCCGCGTCAATCACGTCAGTTTCGTCCGTCGCGACCTCAATAGCGTCTAGTGCAGGCTCCGATACCGAATCGGAGATGGACTTCGAGTCCGCGACTAGCCCTCAACCCGGAACCTCGGATGAGTTCCAAACTGTAACGCGTGGTAAAAAGCGTACTCGCGTCCTGGAGTCCCGGAGCTCCATGACGAAGCAAACCAAGTCCGCGACCGTCTCCCGACCGCAGGTAGTCGTGACGCCGGAGTCGGACTCCGCCCGCCGCGTAACCCCACCGCCGCGCCCAAAAACCGCGCCCGCGCCTAACAGTTGTCCCGCCCCCGCTGATACTCCAGGAGAAGTCAGCGTGGAATCGCGTATCCCAGGCCCTTCAGGCCAACAAAATTAATTATACCCATGGATTCAGATTAAGGTCGCAACGCCGGGCGACCATAGGGCCCTCTCTGCTTACCTCCGAAAGGAGAACATAGGTTATCACACCTATGCTCTTCAGGAGGACCGCGAACTCCGCGTAGTGATACGCGGAGTCCCCAAGGAACTCGACATAGACTACGTAAAGGAGGATCTGATCGGTCAGTCCCTCCCAATAGTTAATGTGCACCGGATGCACAGCGGACGCGGCAGACAGCCGTACAATATGATTCTCGTCGCGCTAGAATCAACCCCGGAGGCAAAGAAAAGAATCTCATGTCTCAAAACGATATGCGGCCTCTCCGGGGTCACCATCGAAGCCCCCCATAAACGTGGTACTCCCGGGCAGTGCCACAGGTGCCAGCTCTATAGCCACTCAGCGCGTAATTGCCACGCGCGCCCCCGCTGCGTGAAATGCCTCGGCGATCACGCAACCACAGAATGTTCGCGTGTTAGGGAAACCGCGACGGAACCCCCAAGCTGTGTCCTATGCCTTAAGCAAGGGCACCCGGCAAACTACCGCGGATGTCCTAGGGCTCCGCGTAAACGCCCGAACCACCCAGCCCCCCGAANATTGATATCGCCTTATTCATCAGTTCAATATCGACGACAATGAGGAAAATTATAAGAACGATTAAATATTTTTCTTTGACATGTAATATTTTGTTTGTACTTTATAATATTAAAATAACATTTTTTATTTTCTATAATATTGCTATGAACGTAATAAAATAATTTTTTTATTGGATATCTTAAAAGATCACAATAGACTAAGCACTATATCTCGCTCACACCCGCTTGAACAGTTGTTACCTCGCGCTCGCACCTACAGCGGGCTCTCAATGTGTCTGGCAAGATGTAAGAACCATTAAAACTGTCCGGCTCTTGGGGTAACATATTTTTATAAGTCCCTAAGTAACATATATAAAATTAAGCTTTTATAGTATAACGAAAGTATAATTAAAATTTATTAAAGTTTAGGGGTGTCTGGCAGGGGGTAACAACTGGAAAAAGTGTCCGGCAACGGATATCATGATTTCTAAAGATATTCTGGAGTAAATATTTAAAAAAAAAAACCTTTATACTTTAACGAATTTAAGGTACTATTTTATATACCTTTACTGCCTGTTACCTGCCCAAGTAACCACAATCGAAACTCTATAATCGCGAGTCGTTCTTACCTGTGTTGGAGACATACACAGAGAAACTTTCAGCTTTTATAAAATAACGAAGGTCTGGCTGTCGCGGGCTCTTGGGCTACAACGTATTGTCAGCTAGCATGGTCAGACATAACTTTTCTATTCTAATCAATCACTTGTTTCGCTAATAGAATTAAGACTTCGACCAAATTTTTTAAGGCAGACGTTATATGCTTTGTAATAGCTATTAGAGGTCCCGCAGTAGTCGAAATTCGACTATAATTAATTGGAATTGCATAATAAGTTTATACACTATTATGATTGTATTTTATACTTCTATAATCACAAATTTCGCCAAGGCTACACTATAAAAAAATATTAATAAAGACAAACAATATTTAATCTATTTTCAAGTTGACGACAGACGTCAAGAACAAAAGTTTGATCATAAATAGTATGCATGCGTGTGTGCGTGAAATACATGGTATGTAGTGTGTGTAATGATTTCTTTATTGATTTAATCTTATAAAATAGAAAAAAAATATTAGCATTGTGCACTTCTTCTCTATATTCTCTATAAGTGTGGAAAATTTCATACTCGTCCGTCCGCGCAAATTTCGTAAAAAGGGATACAAAGTTTTTGCTTCACGTATTAATATATAGATGCTCTTCCGTGGATTTCCGTGAGCTAGTCCAAACATTAAAAACGGAACAAACACAAATCATGATTACATTTACGCTAACATTAAATTCGTTTTCGTTATCTTTAACAGTCACAACCCTATCACGTGACTCGGAGTTGTAACAAGGGATATCACGTCAACAACAAAAGCCCTTTTACGTATTGAAAAGCTAACATTTTTTTTATTTTTTTTTTAATTCTTAGTAATTACGGTATTTCGGTAGGCAGCGGCTTGTCTCTGCCCCTGGCATTGCTGAAGTCCATGGGCGACGGTAACAACTCACCATCAGGTGGGCCGTATGCTCGTTTGTCTACAAGGGCAATAAAAAAAATTTAGAATATTACGCAAATTATAATTTTGCGGATTTGATTTTTATTACACGACTAGCTGACCCGGCAGACTTCGTAGTGCCTCAATCGATAAATAAAAGACCTAAATTTTTGTATAAAATAAACTTAAAACAAGCAAAAGGAATCCGTCCGTCCATCGAAGGAAAAACAAAATTGTTATTTTTATTTAATTCCAAGCATTTTCATTTATCTACTTTTTAAACCTTTTCTGGACTTCCACAAATAATTCAAAACCAAAATTAGCCAAATTGGTCCAGCCGTTCTCGATTTTTAGCGAGACTAACGAACAGCAATTCATTTTTATATAATAATATATAGATAGACGTTATTCCTTCACGGTGGAAGTCAATCGTGAACATTTGTTAAGTACGTGTATTTCATTGGCAAAATTCGTACCCGCCTGCGGGATTCGAACACCGGTGCATCGCTTCATACGAATTTAATATATATGTGTGTGCGCGTGTGTTAATTAAAAGTAAAAAGTAAAACTAAATAGTGAAAATAATACTCACTTCCGTGTGGAAAGAATTTAGCGTAAATATCTTTGAACGAGTCCTCCTGCACCACGCCCTCAGGACACTCCTGCAACAGAAGATAATTCATGGGTCAACACCAAATTCGACTTTGATTGCAAAGCATAAAATTGCGATATTTTAGATCGTAATTAGACGAAAAAAAATACTTGGCATAAAACAGTTTGCTTTTGAATTTTAATAAATTGACCACATATATTATGAAAAAGAGGCCAAGAGGACAAATAAATCTATCCTGGATCAGCTTCGCATCCGAGTCAGGCTCTCATATTGCCCGCCGACAGTCAGATAACTTGGACAAAGTGATTGTGACGGGCAAAGTAGAAGGAAAGAGACCCCGCGGCCGATTACCTAGCCGTTGGTGTGATCAAGTAACCGCTCTAACTGGGTTGCCAGTCGCAACCGCCATTCAAGTAGCTGAGGACCGGACGAGATGGAAACAGCTCACGAGACAGGCAACGGTCAAGTTTCAGGGACACGACCTTCAGCAATGAAGAAAGCGAGGAAGAAGAAGAAGATATTATGAAACAAAATGCATCAGCATCGTATAAATTACACTTTCGTGACATTTTTAGTTTTTCTGGGCTTGTACAAAACACCTGATAGTTGTTTATGACTCGAGTGCCATCTAGTGACACTGTGTAAACGTAAGCACCCCACTCTCATAGCGCGGTTATTTTGAAAGTATTAAAATTACTTTTAATTTTTACTGGTGGTAGGACCTCTTGTGAGTCCGCGCGGGTAGGTACCACCGCCCTGCCTATTTCTGCCGTGAAGCAGTAATGCGTTTCGGTTTGAAGGGTGGGGCAGCCGTTGTAACTATACGGAGATCTTAGAACTTATATCTCGAGGTGGGTGGCGCATTTACGTTGTAAATGTCTATGGGCTCCAGTAACCACTTAACACCAGGTGGGCTGTGAGCTCGTCCAACCATCTAAGCAATAAAAAAAAAATAAAAAAATTAAAATTTATAAAAAAAAAATTGAAAATGACTATTATTACTCACAAAAGCAAACTTTATACCAAAAAAAAAGGTTTTTATTTTCGTTTTTGTGAATAATTAACCAGAAAAACCTAGTATTATACACATTAAGACAAACAACTAATTTTTTTTTGTAGAGTTGTGTATAATTCGACTATATACGATTTTCAATATCGAACGGTGAAAAGCTATTTGATTTGAACAACATTTTTGCAAACTTTACAGAAGAACCATTTAAAGTTTAAATTTTGATACAAAAAAGGTAATCTTACGCACTGGGGTTCGGTATAAATAAATTTTCCACCAAAGTACAACTTAAAACTGTATTTATCACTTAAAACACACACAGAACACTTTAAAATTCTCAATTCGCTTCTTCCGCTTCGCTTCAGGTGATCCGTTCGCTGTTTCGCTTCGAGTAGTTCCGATTACGTACTGACTGCGTGCCATCTCTGCAACGCTTTTATAGTCGATATCACATCTCTAGAACTATCGAGAATATTCCACATAAGTCGAGTATTGTGTGTTTCCGCTATCTGACAATAGATTGCGTTGTACTTGTCGATCGTTCTAGATGTTACTAGATCCTTCGATATTCGTTCGGCTATTCGGCGATAGATGGCGTTACTCTTGCCGTAGTAACAGTAATAAAAGTGTTGTTAGTGCGAGTTTTCAACGTTTTCGATAGCGTAAAAGTTAACTCAAATTTGTATGCCATTGAAATAGCGCCCCTAACGGCAAACGAAGGCCAGTTATAAGGTCAGTTTAAAAAACCAATCAAACTAATGCACTTAAGAAGAAAACAAAATTAGTTACAAATCGATTTTTTTTATTGCTTAGACAGGTGGACAAACTCACAGCCCACCTGGTGTGTTGAGTGGTTACTGGAACCCATAGACATCTACAACGTAAATGCGCCACCCACCTTGAGTGATATAAGTTCTAAGGTCTCAGTATAGTTACAACGGCTACCCCACCCTTCAAACCGAAACGCATTACTGCTTCACGGCAGAAATAGGCAGGGTGGTGGTACCTACCCGCGCGGACTTTGTTTCTTAATCTAATTGATCCAGTTACAAAGTGCCGTAGATTTTTAATCACGTAAATATCTGCGTATAAATTACATTTTGTAACTTTGAACCGTGAGAGTTAAAAAGGCCTTTTAACCTTCGAATTCCATGTGCGTTTAAATAGAACGATGCCTCCAATGAACACTACTCTAACTCAATTTTTTTAAATTTTCGTTCTTCACGCAAATCGCTTCACTATGTTAAAAGTATTACAATTGATCATTCTTGATGGGGTTCGAAACAAGAGTAAATCAGCTAGTTACACAAAAAAACCATAAATATATCTGCAATAATAAAGATTTATCAACTTTTTTCGTTTAAACGCTCCTCCTATAAATCTACGAATTTGGAGTTAGCGTAGTGTTCATTGGAGGCATCGAGCAAATAAAAACATATCTTACTAGCGATCCGCCCTCGATTTGTTTTAGGAATTGTGATTTATTATTGATCTTATTGAATTTTCTATCTTCATCCTTCATAATATCGCGCACTCGGTTGCTTAGTCATATCTATTCAAATATTTGTCCAAATGATGTAGTGTAGTAAGACAAAGTTTAAATCTATTTTAAATATCAGATGCGACAAAAGTATTTATTTTGATATAAGGATCAATTTGTTACTACCAAATGCGCGTTAGAAATAAATTAGATTTTTCTTTATTGTGTTTATGTTTTACTATTTTGGCGATAATGGATTACGCGTAAAAGATAGATATGTGCTTTCGCGGGCTTTTTTGTAGGAGTATTTAAGATAAACATTTCCATTTTACATTATACACGTGTAACTCCAACGGTTTTTGCGACGCACGCCAGAATAGCTCGCAGATGGCAGATTTTTTTCTTCTTTCTTGACACTTATCGTTATATTTTGAGTAATTCCCACTATATTTTTATAAATTATAACCTATGTGTTGTTCTGATATGTAAACTGTATTATTGTAAAGTTTCATCAAAATCCATTCAGTAGTTTTTGCTTGAAAGAGTAACAAATATAGTCGTAATAGCAGACCCGACCACATGTTGCTGTGGCTAAGGTTTTTGTTTCTAAATAACACGTGGCCGACGATGCTAATACCAAAAATTAACAAAATAAGAACAATTGGCTTTCACTGTATTGCGTTTACTACGAAATAAATTTCACATATACTTTAGCCTCAGCAACACGTTGTTTATGCCATTAAATTGTAACTTATGTGAAACGTTGGTATTTTTAACACAGCGCTATCTATGAGATATTAATGTAAGACAGTATTACAATTGTCTGTAAAAACTGATTTGAGGCGCCAGCGCCATATGTTTTAGACTTATGAAACTTACAATTAATAACAATAATCAACGTAAGAAATCATTGTTAATTAATAAATAATGCGACGATTAATCGAAATAAAAAACCATCCTATGACCTAAGTTGAAACAAAACACATATTTAAAATAATAAAAAGTTAAAATCGGTTCAGCAGTTTAGGTGTCCATCGCGGACAAACAACGTGACATATAATTTATATATATTGTTACGCCGGTAACGGTAACGCCATCTATCGCCGAATAGTCGAACGAATATCGAAGGATCTAGTAGCACCTTGAACGCTCGAGAAGTACAACGCCATCTATTGTCAGATAGCGGAAACACAATACTAGAGATGTGTGGAATATTCTCGATAATTCTAGGGATGTGGTATCGACTATAAAAACGTTGCAGAGATGGCACGCAGCTAGTTAGTAATCGGAACTACTCGAAGCGAAACAGCGAATGGATCACCTGAAGCGAAGCGGAAGAAGTGAATTGAGAATTTTAAAGTGTTTGTGAAGTATTTTAAGTGTTCTAAGTATTGAATACAGTTTTTAGTTGTACTTTGGTGGACTTTTATTTATCCCGAACCCCAGTGCGTAGCAATATTAAGATATCCATATATTTTCGCGTTTATAACAGTATTTGGATTAGATACGCAACAAACCTACTTCGAGTTAAATGAACTAGAAAGGCTTCGGAATTACAATGTGGAATGTAAATTATTGCGACGGCCAAAGTAGGTAATGCAAGGAACATGCTATATTGCGTGAGCTACCACAAATGTAAGTATTTGGATAACATCGATTTGAGACTGACTCGGTATTTATTCGAGCCAATTAAAATTCCAGTTTCGTAATCTGAATCAGGCTGTTTACTTGTAACCGACTCCAAAAGGAAGGAGGAGGTTTTCCATTGGACTTTTTTTTGATGATTGAAAGATTACTGGTGGCCTGAAGGTCTTTCCAGCTTCACCAGGACAGGTGGGCGAGCAAAGGCTCAGCCAGGAGAGGTAGGATTTGCTAACAACTGTCCGAGCGCCTCCGAAGGAGACCTAACAACTCAAGAGCAATTGCTTCGCGAATGAATCTACTACCGGATCGGAATCGCGACCCACTGAGAAGATCCGGCGAGAAACTCAGCGGGCTGATGCATGGATTAGGTTACACGTCGACCTCTTTGTCGAGTTCGACGAGTACGATTATCGGGGTTCCTCAGCCTGCTCCTAGGGTTAGAGCTGAAGGTATCTAATGCAAGAGTTATTGGATCTGATGGATCCGTAAGGACGTGTCTAGGGCAACGACGGTGACTTGCTCCTGCGTGATCAGGATTCGGGTCCATTGGACTGTTAATTATTATTATTATATTATTTTTATTGCTTAGATGGGTGGACGAGCTCACAAGCCACCTGGTGTTAAGTGGTTACTGGAGCCCATATACATCTACAACGTAAATGCGCCACCCACCTTGAGATATAAGTTCTAAGGTTTCAAGTATAGTTACAACGGCTGCCCCACCCTTCAAACCGAAATGCATTCCTGCTTCACGACAAAAATAGGCAGGGTGGTGGTACCTACCCGTGCGGACTAACAAGAGGTCCTACCACCAGTAATTACGCAAATTATAATTTTGCGGGTTTGATTTTTATTACACGATATTATTCCTTCACCGTGGAAGTCCATCCCTCCACTCCCTTATGACACGTTGCAA